TTAGCAATTTGTCACCCTTGTGATGTAGGGTAAGTGGCCTTTCGGGTAAATAACTTTCGGGGAATCATACCGTAACCCCCTGGTACACATTTTCTGGGTGCTCTCGGCAAACCAAGTGATTTTTTTAAAAGCATAAAATCCAATAAACACAATATTCTAAAAATATTCTAAAAATATACATTGATTGCCGTAACCAAATTTCCAAACGAAAAATAAAGTAATAAAATAAAAAAAAAAATAGCAATGAAATCAATGAAATAAAATAATTACAGTAAAAGCATATAGAGATTTATAAGATTTGCTCCTAAAATGTTCTAACTCGGCTATTATATCCATTGATCTAAAGTCAAAGCCAGGTTTTGGAGGTTCTTTTGCTTTATGCAAAAATGAATAGAATGCACCGATAAGACCGGTTAAAGTATCTATTGTCTAGTATACATTGTATGATCGATCAGAATATATAGCATATAACTTTGTGCGTATTACAGCATTATAAATTCTATATATATATATATATATATATATATAAACATACTTTAGAAGCAAGATCTTTATCAAATGGATGGCTTTCATAACAGTCTTTGACATCGGCATAACTAAAATTTGTTGTTTGTTTAGTAATAAATTCATTATGAATTCTTGCACATCCATCAGAAATATGATCTTTCCGTGGAATTACAAAAGATTGAACATTTACAGCAGAGACAAATAAGAATGCGAAAACTATTATGAAAAACTTCATATTAATAATGATTACTATAGTAACGCATTAAGAAAAAAAGCTGGAGGTCGCGTTTCTGAGGTTTATTTATGTCTGACATTGAGTACTTTCTAAAAATAGTTCATCGGAGATCGGAATATTTTACTTTGCATGAATAATAAATTTAAAATGGTTTATTTACTAAACTTTAACTAAACAATATCCGTCATTACTTTAATTCCAAACATAGTAATAATGAAGACAATAAATATGGTTAATATTATCCTTATTATCCTTATGAAAATCAGATTAATTCTATTAATCAATGAAACTGTGAAACCGGATAACAAAGGTGCAATATCATACGTATTATTTATATAAAAGATTTACTGCGCACTTAAAAATGCTAGATTGCTTTATATATTTACTTGGTTCATCAAATAACATAAGAAATATGGAAATTACAGAAAGAATGGAAAAGATTCATAATCCTAAAAATTTTAAAATTATTTTTATCTACGGATTAATAAGCTTGCTAAAATTATTTTGGCTTATTATGCCGGATTATAATTATGCGTATATAGTAACAAGTTAACATCCTTTAGCAACACCATAATGTTAGTACTTAACGGTTTAAAAGACAAAAGACTTTCGTTAGCACTTATGTTGGTTCTTAAGATCCTGCGTTATATTGGCTTTTCTTGCGACACTGTAAATAACATAAATCATATAAATAATGAACAAATCACCCGGCGTACAATGTTGTACACGGACGTTATCCTGCCAATTTTGCAGGGACACGGGCAGTCCCGGACAATGTCCCATGTCCGCAATGATGTCCCAGCAGAGCATTGTACACGGACACAGTCCCGCTAATTTTTAACTTTGCCCCTACTATGTCCGGGACATGTCCGCTATACAAGCCAATAAAATTGCCTAAAATATATGAATATATCGAAAGTGGGTTTGAAAAACTTTATATACGATTTGACTTATTATCTTAATAAGCTTAAAACTTATCATTATTTTATTTAAATATTAACGGATGAGTTGATTCGAACCAGCGTTATACATTTTGGGTATTTTCAATATGTTAAACGTTCAAAAAAATCCTAGCATGCTTAAATTGTATATAATATATATCTATATGTAAAACCATAACATCTCTGGTCTGGGTTGTGTGTAAAATAACGATAAAGTCGCTTAATATGTGATAGTAATTTACACGCATATCGAATAATTTTATTGCTGATAACCACGTGTTGATTAATGTAAATTAGCATGGATGTCCGGGACAAAAAAATTTTCCGCGAACATGTCCGCGGACATCCCGTCCCGAACTGTCCGCTGTCCGTGTCCGTGTCCCATGCCAACACTGCGTACGTACGTACGTATGTATTGTACAAACGTATGTGCGTACGTATGTACCTAAATCCTGTACACAGGGTACACAAGGGGTATATCGTACGTAAGTAGTACGGTACAGAACGTAAATTAAGACGGAAGTGTAGAAATCAAGATAGTATGTACGGTTTGTAAAAGAAAAAATTCGTCAAACCAAAGTTATTTTTCCTACTAACCTCAAACATGAAGCCAGATAATACTACCCCTAACCATTAAAAATGACTACTTATAAAAATTGAATTTTGCAAGTCTATGTTAATCGTATGTA